TGTTATGACTATTGAGCGCTTTTCACACACCGGTAAGTAAACTTTTATATCTACTACTATACTATATACTATTCAAATAAACTACAGGTGCATTCATGGCGGCGAGTATCGGTGAACGAACATAATGTTTTCACCACTTACAGACAAAAATTAGATTTTGTCGACTTATTTGTTATAACCGCGAAAACATAACAATGATTACATTGATTACAATGAAGCCTAACATAAAACACCTGATAACTGTTCTCTATAATTATCAAAAAATACAATTTTGTTACCTCCTGTATGCTTTTTCAGATTTGAACGGCCGCTTCGAGCACTTTTCGCTGTAGGCGGATTGTCCGTTCGGGAATCGACTTTCATCCGAGATGACTGATAGCTAGACACTCAAACTCAGAATCCGAATTTCCGATTTCAACACACATACGAGAACCGGACATACACGCCCGGGGCATGGTCTGCGATCCGACGTAGTCGGATTGCCTACCTGACTAAGTACATGCATACGACCGACTTACACTCCCACTGCATCCGATCCACTGCACCCGATCCGCCGCAGGCGGATTTTCCGTTCGGGAATCGACTTTCACCCGAGATGACTGATAGCTAGACACTCAAACTCAGAATTCGAATTTCTGATTTCAACACACACACTTCAGAACCGGACATACACGTCCGGGGCGTCGTCTGCGATCCTCGGATGGCCTACCTGGCTGGCTGTGTCGTACGATCGACTTGAATCGCCTGACTTACACTAGACACTCTTCCAAGTTGAAAAATTACCGCTTTACCAGTGCTGCCAACACGACAAAAAACAATAAACGACGACCCCGCGTTCCCGATGCAGGCCGGATCAAAAAACCCAGCCCGAGGCGAAACGTCAAAGATGCACCACCGCCCACACAGTCTTTCCGCCGTAGGCGGGATGACAAACGCCCGAATCTAGTCTAACTATATAAAGCAAGAAACCGAGGGCACCCCCTATGGATTAAATTGGCCCTGACTTAGGGAACAGTGGCGGGAAATCACTGCGTTATCACTCCTCCTTATCACTTTTTGCGGTTTCAACCGTCTTTCACGATTTTTTTTCAAAATGTTCGAGTTTTACCCCCCTCGAAGAGTAGTATATATTTGTATGTTCACAGCCAGCTTTTCCAGGAAAAAAAAAAAAAGTTCAAGGTGGGGATGTCCGCTTGGAGCACTCAGATTTACCGTGTAACATATTTCACACTGATTGTTCACCAATTTCGTCTCACACAAAAATATTTAACATTTAACAATCTTAAAACTAAAATAATTATTTCAAGAAAAAACACAAATTATAAAATCATGCTGAGGCTGTGGCTGAATCGTTCTGTTTCGAAGTATCGATAAATATAATTGGAGCGTTTGTCAGAAAAGAAGAAAGAACTCAATATCGGGTTACGAATACTTTTTTCATAGTACGATTCTTGAAACGATGTATACATATTATACAATAAGGTGAAATTATTTTTAGTAAAATCTAAATTCAAATTATCGTATGGATAAGCTATATAGTTCAGAAATACTTTAACGTTTGTTAAATTACAATGATCAAATATACTACAATCTTTTGTTAGCAAATGTTTGAGTCCTTTTTGTAATCCAATTATGATAAATGGTGGTTTTTCTAATTTTGAAGCAGTTTTCAAATTCCATACAACTTTTTTAGTGGTTCCGAGTTCAGGATATTCAAAAGTTTCAAAAGATCTAAAAGGGATAAATAGACTTTTTTCTTTTTCTATAAGTTTCAATAATTTTAACCTTTCTTCGTCGTCGACCGTTATATGTGGTACCTTCCAGACTATTTTATTTAAGGTGACTTTACCTTCAGTAGCAGTTGCACCACTTTTAACTTGTAAAGCATTTAAATCACTATGACTTCGAGTTAATATTAATTCCAATCTAGAATTCACTTATATTCTTTTATAGTCTTCAAACAATCCTAACCAATATTTCGTTTTCATTATTTGCGTTTTTAAAATACCAGCCATCATTTTCATAACAATTGTAGTTATCTGGCGTAAGGGATAAGTAACCTTTCAACGAGCTAGTGATTCCAAGAACACGTGTGATATCTACTTCTATCCCATTGATTTCCAATCGTATTTGTTCGAAGAGGTAAGAGTAACCGTTATTTGATAGTTTCACTTTGGTAGCATCAGTAATTGTTCCTTCCAAAAAAAATAAAGCTTTTGTGTAGATATGGGTAGACATCCGTTTGCTAGATTGATATACGTATTTCATCATTATTATTAAATGATGTAGTATACGGTGTGTATGAATGATATTCAATTTTCGTAATTTTAGAATCCGTTTCGTACTGTGAAGTTATATCTAAAATATCACTCTCAGGCATTCTGCTTTAATTGATAACCCAGAGCTTGTAAATTTTTTTTATTTCTTACCGTTAATTTTTTTATCTTATTTGATGTTGCTGGTAGCACTTTAGTCTTATGACTAGATGTGCTGATCTGAAGTAGCGGGTTTATATTGAATTTCAACCCCATCTCAAGACCCGTAACGTTTAATATGTAACACGATTGTCAAATGCCTCACCAAAATTATCAATCGGATTATGATCTTGATCAACTAACTGAACGGTTATCGAATCAATATTTGTTTTATTCAATTTGTAATATATTAAATTTGGCCGTGCCTGAATTACTTTCGACCCTGTCCTTTCACTCGGGAAAAACTCATAAATCGAATGACTTTGAAGATGGTTGTTGAATGATCCTTGAGCTATATTGCACATAACTTTTATAGAATTAATTGTGTTTAAATTTACAGCTTTTTCCGATCGAAGAATTTCATAGTATGGCTTATATACTCGTTTTTCAAAACCGAATACAGGTGCTATACTATATGGATACTCAAAGTGTAGTATCCCATTACATTTTAAATACGATCTGAAATCATTAGGATCAACCGTAATGTCGAATGTTAAATTGGTTAAGTTTTTCTAATTATAGTCATCTATTTGCTTCTTAACTCGTTGCTTAATATCTTCAATCTCATAACAACCCTCTATGTAATAAAACATATCATAGTATCATTATTGTTTTTATTATCAACTACTTGTATAGAAAATGTATTCTTATTTTCATTAATATTTGGGAATGAATTAAATGACTGTAAACATAACAAAGCTATTTCTGAGTCCTCTTAAAGGCATACACAACCCAAAAAAAAAAAAAAAAAAATTAAACTTGGTTTTCATACTAAGTAGTATAAAAAAAAATATCATGAAAACAGAATGTGAAAAAAAAAATTATTCACAGAGTTAAGGCGAAATCAAAATATACCTGTGACGTCATTGCGTCGGACGTTTCCGCGCGGCACTGGCAGCCGGTCGCAACAAACCGTATGAAGAATACGTATAATAATATTCTCGTCGCCTGCCGATCGCTAATCGCCGATTATTTTTTTTTTATTTCCATAAATAGGTCCTTTAATTATTTATAAATTATAAATATAACACTATTCCTAAATACTTATAAATAATAAACGTCATTGCGTCGGCCGTTTCCAAGCGGCATCGGCAAACATATAAAAATTATTATTATTATCGTCGAATGTCGGGTGTCGACATGTCGACTGTTATTATTTTGTTGCAGATTCATGATGTGTTTCATTTTTATTTGCTATCATTTAATTTCGTATATAATACCAAGTGAAATTTAATAAATTTACATTATAAATCTCACTACTTATACACAGAATAATAATGTCTTTAATACCATTCAATTTTGATCCTGACATTGAAGGTATAGACCGCTACTTACAAGAAGATGATGACGATCCGGCTGTCAATTATGAAGGTAGATTAAATAATTCCAATTGGTGTTCTTGTGGATACTGTAAAGGAATGCTTAGTGACATCGATTGTTTATGCTGCAATGAGTTACCAAATTTAGAAAAAATACGAGAAGAAGAAGGGAAATGTATTACTTTACATCGATCATTTTCGAAACTAATATTGGATAAAGAAATACTAAATATTACTAGACACAATTTAATACTAAAAACTAAAAACAGAATTAATAAAAAAAAATTGGGTCAACATCATCCAGAAAATAAAACGTGGAGATTTATTTGTTATAAACAGTATACGTCTTGGGTCAATTCTTGGTTTGCAATGGGAAAAGGAAACCGAGTGGTTTTGCCTGCATGTGTTGTACAGAAAATAAGAGAAGAATATCCAGAACCAAATGGAATATACGTAGGATTCAAAAATTCAAAAAAATTACCGGCTTAATCAATCTGTATTACTAACAATATTGTGAACCAGAGTATAAAAATTATATAATATAAAAAAAATATAGTGTAATAATTTTTTTTTCCTTACAACATTGTAATTTATGAATTGTTATAATATAATAATTTTAATACTTTGTCAACATAGCACAATTTAAAAAAACAAAATGGTTATTTAATAATTAATATATATATAACATAAAAAAGATATTCAACTAATATTAAGAAACCGTGAATGATGGGAATTTCGCATTATTTCCAATGCAGGTCGATCAATAGGTGCGATGTTTTTAGGCAGAGTTACATTGAGTGGTGTTTTCAATGGTGACATTTCGACTCCGTTTAAATGATCTAGTATTAAGTTAATTATTTCATCTCTCCAATTATTTGTACCTTTTTCATAAATATTTTTAGTAACCCATTTTCCAGTAGGTTTAGAAAATAAATAATTTAAACCTATTTTTTTTTTATTTAAATTGGAATTATGGTCAATTATAGCAATTATTGATTTTATGTACATCGCTTTAAAAGAAAAATGAACACGTTTTGGAACATATTTTAATCTTAAATTATGGTAAGACTCTAATCTTCCCGTGTGTACATAATTTTTTGTTTGCTTTAAATCTGTCAAAAACTTTTTGTTGCAAATTATTTCTTTTAATAGTTCATAAGGTTTAGAATCAGGAAGTAACCATAGTTTTTTTTTTTGTACTCATCACTTAATGGTGGATGTTCACAAGTTTTTTTAATCCATCCTCTTCCCATTCATGAACGTTTTTAATATGTTTCAATATAGATGTAAATTTTGTGACTAATACTTCAGAATCGCCATTGCATGTTTGTGCCGACCACCATAAATGATTACTTATGGATTGCTTCCATGCCAAAACTTCTTCGTATTTTTTATTAATTGTTTTAAATTTTTTCATTAGGCTTTTAGATAAATGCCATAAATCAAATTCATGTGTGATTTCTGGGTAAGATGTTTTCAACAAATGCCTTATTCCTACATGGCGGTCGGTTAATAATAAATCAATTTTGCATTTATCGGTACCTATTAATTTATCAATTAATTGTTTACAAGCATTTTTTTCTAAATCTCCCGGCATCATTTTTTTTTGAATTAATTGAAAATCTACTATACAACCAGAATTAATGTCCATAAAAGTATAAGTACAATATTTGGCACAAAAACCAGGTGAATCGTACTGACCATCTCCAGCAATCCATAACTGTCCACTTTCCTTGACATAATTCATCTGTTCTGTTCTCTTTTTCTCCCATATTTTTTCGATTAGAGGGTAAGAATATTTATTCATAATTTTATCGTATGTTGTTCTACTAAACATTACAAGTTTTAAACTTGAACAAAATACTTTAAACGTAGCAAATAAAGTACCAGATAAAAGTATAGATGTAGCAATATGTACGTGACCCTTAGAAAATTGTTTATTAACAGGCTGTGAAAACCATTTTGATGAGTGACCTTCGCTACATTCTGATCTTACACATATTGTTGCACCAATTGCGTACCATTTTTTATTTATTATTTTACTTTTACAAATATTACAAACTGTAAACAGTGTTAGTAATGAATTAATAAATACTAAACAATATTTTATTTCGGTATTTTCAACATTATCAAATTCTTCAGTGTAGTCTTCCTCCTCATTTTCACACTCAAAATCGGGATCATCATAAAAATCATTATCTGTATATGACGCGTTTTCTTCTACATCACTTATATTATCCTCCGTACAACTTAACTTTACCTCCTTTTTATTATGTTCATATGAATCAATATTTGATTTTTTAGCGATTAAACTCTCAACCATATCTTTTTTTTCTTGATTTTTTATTCTTTCAGAACGGGGTTTTTTAGTTGTTGCATTACCATCGCTATTTTTATCATTATTTATTACAAATATTGTTGGTACCGTACCTGGTTTTAAGCGGGGTGATCTTAACTTGTATTTGTCTCCCAATAATTTTTGTTTTAAAATGTCTGAGTCATCAAAATCTTGACTTTTAAAATGATGAGAACATATCACAGAATTATTAGTTGGTTTAAAAAGTTTACGCTTGCAAAAATTGGTCCATTTATTAAAACGCACAGGTGAATTATCGCGATTAGGAAATCTATGCGTTCCTTTATTGTTACTACAACCAAATACACTACAATACGGCATTATTTTCTTCGAATATTAAGTATTAGAGTATATTATATTTTTGCAGTACACACTACACATACGGAACAAAAATGATATAACGCGACGCACTAGTACACTACATACCGACTAGGCGAAAAGTGAATACTGACGAATTAGTTAAAATTGTTCGGTCAACAGAAAGTTTTGAGTATCATTTATAAGTATTTAGGAATAGTGTTATATTTATAATTTATAAATAATTAAGGACCTATTTATGGAAATAAAAAAAAAATAATTGGCGATTAGCGATCGGCAGGCGACGAGAATATTATTATACGTATTCTTCATACGGTTTGTTGCGACCGGCTGCCAGTGCCGCGCGGAGACGTCCGACGCAATGACGTCACAGGTATATTTTGATTTCGCCTTAACTCTGTGAATAATTTTTTTTTTCACATTCTGTTTTCATGATATTTTTTTTTATACTACTTAGTATGAAAACCAAGTTTAATTTTTTTTTTTTTTTTTTTTGGGTTGTGTATGCCTTTAAAGGTTTATAGGTAAATGTACAGATAATATGGTAGCATTCCCAGTTAAACTTAAAGTAACTGACTCGTACATTACAAAATCTAAGATATAAATTTAATGATGAGATCCGTGACGTTTAATATGTAGAACAACTGTTAACGTCTCGTTAAAATTATCAATTGGATTATTGTTTTGGTCAACTAACTCAACAGTAATTGAATTAATATCTGTTTTGTTTAATCTGTAATATATAAGGTTTACCGGAGATTGAACAACCTTTGTTCCTGTTTTCCCAGTCGGGAAAACTCGTGTATCGAATGACTTTGAAGTTGGTTGTTGAATGACCCATGTGCTATATTACACATTACTTTTATAGAATTAATTGTGTTTAAATTTACAGCTTTATCCGATCAACGTTCTTCATGAAACGGACCACAATCTTTCTTTTTAAACCCAAAAACAGGTGCTATACTATATGAAGTATTAAATCGAAGTATTCCATTACATTTTATATACGTTCTAAAATCAACAGGATCCATACGTATACTGAATGTTAGATGTGTTCCGTAGTCGTTATTAACTTGAGAAAACTCTTTTGCCATATAATTGTCAATATCTTATATTTCATAGCATCCGTCTCCCAAACAAAATTCAAAAATGCGAAAGTCTTCTCTGTTTTTCTTTGGAGGAATTGTTTGTAATTTCAACCGGTTATTAGTTGGATTTATAATATTTGGAAATGAATTGAACGTTTGCAAAGATAACAAAGCTATTTCCGAATCCTCGTAAACGTTTAGAGATAGAAAATAATTTGCCGACAATACAGTTGAATTTCCAGTAAAACTTAATGTAATAGATTCATGCATTGTAAAAATTCAAGACATAAATGACCACAGTTAAATGTATTGAAGTCTTGATAGTTGGAATAGTTGTATACAATTTTGAACTGTCTGAAATAATGTTGTAATTCAATTGGTGGAGGTAAATCACCAAAGCTATCAAAATATACAACTTTGTCCTTATTTTTATAAAACGCTACCCAATGACTTCCGTCGCCTGAAGAAATATCCAAGTTTAATATACCACATTCAATAGCATGCGGTTTTTTAGGTAAGTTATCACTCGAAAAGACTCCACAGAAATGATTGATTTTCAACTTTCAAACATATTTTATAATATCTTGAGACGAACGAAAGCGGTCTGTCAGGTAGCGTGATCATCAGTTTTTTTTTTTTAACTTATTCTTGTTTGATTTCAAACCACTACCTTTTTTTCTTTTTGAATTTTGAACCACATTATACACACTAGAACCTCCAGACATCAAACTACCAAGTGCTGACAATCCTGCAAATATAGGTATTAAGGGGATTACACCTCCTGACTGTCTTGGTGCTAAAATCAACCTTTTACACCATTCTTTTTCTTTAAGATTCTTTTTTTCTTCGCTGCTTGTATACCATTTGTTTTTTTAGCACTTTTCCGTTTACCACGCATACCTATTTTTCTTTTAGCTTTCATTGCGTTTGTTACTGCGTACGCAACTAATTTCTCTTTTCTAGGAGTATCTTTTGCTTTAAATCTTTCCCAAGCACGATTTTCTAACACTTTATCAGCTTTATGTCTATCGTCTAAATTTTTACTCGTTGCATACACAATATCGTGATCACGACAAGCAGCATACCAGCATCCAATGGGTTTATTCCTTTATCACCACGATCTAGTCTCTTTTTTAATTTCATGCCAGGACCACAATACTGATATCCTGAAACATGGGCTTCGAACGTTAGACTATTTATAAGGGAGTTTACAAATCCTTTACCAGTCTTGTTTGAATTGTACTTACGAGTTGAACACGCCATCTATAACTGGCTATAAATTTAAAAAATCTAGAGTATTTATATGAAAATAATATGAATTTGATTGAACAGAAAGATAAATTAGATGTAATAAATGTAGATGTTCAGGTAGTAAAAAAACCATCAAGACACGGTTCGTTATTACCCGATACTATACGTGCTATACTAGTTGGTCCCAGTGGCTCAGGAAAAACAAATATAATGTATAATCTTATCACACATGCAAACGGGTTAAGATTTGAAAATATTTATTTATACTCGAAAACCTCTAATCATGAAAAATGTTTTATTGAAAAAAAATAATAGATATAAAATGTGCTAATTTTTTCATATTTACAAGCGCTGATAAGGTTATAAAACCAAACTTAACGAAGAAAAATTCTATTATAATTTTTCATGATGTGATATGCGGCCCACAATCTGTAATCAGAGAATACTTTAGCATTGGTTGGCATTCAGGTGCCAACTCCGTATTTTATTTAGTACAGACATATTCTAAAATATCAAAACTATATCAAAAAATATAAAAAATATCAAAAGAGATAACGCAAGCTTTTTAATAATACTGAAACAAGATGATACAAATTTAAGACATATATTCAACGATCATTCGTCTGCAGATATGGATTTCTCAGAATTTCGGTTCAGTATAGATGCGGTTTTCATACATTCATTAAAATAAAATAATTTTATGTGTTTATATAAATATACCGTCAAACAGTTATTATCTGCATAGTGTCATCAGTAGTCATACGATACAGGTATATTGCATTTATTATTTACAATGAACCAAAGAAAAAGTCTTGTTGGAAAATTTAATAACATAAAAAAAAAAATATACAACGAAAAATAATGGAAATGAAACGTGGTGTTATAGATTCTGAAAACTATTTCCGTGAGGCATTTAAGCCGATAATTGAACCATTGAGTACACATGTAAAACAAAATGTAATATGTAAAGGTGCGTCCACATTAGAGCAAATTTGTGTGTGCGTTGAATTTTAATCTCGACTGGCGCACGTACGCCGAAAATTGGGATTATGTTTAATTTGTATATTGTGCGTTGTACGTTGTATTTTCATGCTCAGACTTTGTGGCTGTATATTCTGTAGTAGTTAACAGTGTTAACAACTGTGTAGTGTGTATCCACAATTTTAGTTATTTTATTTTATTATTTATTATTTATTAGTAATAATAGGTTCATATTAGTCATCACTCATTATGAATGAAATTGAAATCAGAAAAAAAAAAGCCGCAGCATTTATAGTCATTCACCAAATATTAAATAAAAAAACAAAAACAAAAACAAAACATCGGCAAAGACGTTGGTGGATAACAAAGTTATACCAAAATAAATTACATAACAATGGCTCAAGTTTGTTATCCACTTTAAAATTCGACGAAAGCACTGGACAATTCAAAAATTTTCTTCGGATGTCTTCACAAGATTTTGAGACTTTAATAAATATGGTTGGGCCAAAAATACAAAAAAGTGATACACGTTTTCGGAAAGCAATTCCAGTCAAAGAACGATTAGCGGTTACTTTACGCTTTCTTGCTACCGGTGATTCGTACACAAGTTTGCAGTACCTTTTTGGGATGTCCAAACAAATAATATCACTTATTATTCCAGAAGTTTGTGAAGCACTTATTGAAGGACTTCAAGATAACATTAAGGTAAAATACATAATCATATAAAATTACTTTTTTTATTAATTAAAATATTACATAACAATATTATAATATTTTTAAAATAAAACAAAATAATAGTATAATAATATTCACCTTTGAATTTGTAACTGAGCATACAATATATTAAAAAAAATATTATATGTCTTAATTATTTGAAAACAATAGTATAATAATTCAGTCTTGAATTTTTTAATTGAGCATACAAGATATATTTAAAATAATATAGTATTAATTTCTAAAATTAAAAAAAATAATAATAAAATAATTCACCTTTGAATTTTGTTACTGAGCATACAATATATTAAAAAAAATATTATATTTCTTAATTATATGAAAACAATAGTATAACAATTCAGTTTTGAATTTTTTAATTGAGCATACAAAATATATTTAAAATAATATAGTATTAATTCTAAAATTAAAAAAAATAATAATAAAATAATTCACCTTTGAATTTGTAACTGAGCATACAATATATTAAAAAAAATATTATATGTCTTAATTATTTGAAAACAATAGTATAATAATTCAGCCTTGAATTTTTCAATTGAGCATACAAATTATATTTAAAATAATATAATATTAATTCTAAAATAAATAAAAATATTAATAAAATAATTCACCTTTGAATTTGTAATTGAGCTTACAATATATTAAATACATTATAGGAATAAAGTGATAATAAAAAAAAAATAGTTAATTAGAGAACTCGTGAAAAAAATCTTGTAAATTGGAATAACTTGCTTGTGGTGTAGTAGAGGAGTCCGTAACTGAGGATACAGAACCTGGCGAAGTTACATTTATATAAGGAGATGCAGGAGTAGTTTGGATATCTGCTACCAAATCAGTTGGCATGGAGTAATGTGGAACATGAGATTGTTGTGAGTAGTACGAAGAATTTGGGGGATTATTTTGAATAGAAGAATAATGGTTAAATTTACCCATATCTGCCTCAAAAAATAC